ATTGTTCTGAATGAGAGATAAACCTCTTACATGTGAACGTTTTGTTGAAGAACCGTAACAGATATCGGTGAAATTTTAAAGCGTGAAGCATGTCAAGGAGCATCTGAAGTGTACTTTCGGGCTAATAATGTGGCCTTTTTGGCAGATTAACTAAAGGTGTGTGGCTGCTGTGGTGGGGAAAGATGAGGCTGAACTTACAATTGGGTTTAATGGAGACATGTTGAAAGTTTTTGTCACTTCATGCCCTCAAGAGGCATTTTGTTTAATTATTTTGCTTAATTTTTTTTTATTTGTCAAGCTACGAGATGTTTTCCTACGTTTCTCATGAAAAAGTATGTCTCAGGAATGTAGGGTTTGGGAATTATGGCAGGTTTAAAAGAAAATATGAAGGCAAAATTAAATATGTCCTCCACTCTAGCTGTGACATCACGCACTCTAAAATCTGAAGAAGGCCTCTTTACCAAGGTCTGAACAATGTTTAATATCTCTAAAAGTAAGAATCAGATTTAAAAGTTGTGTTACACGGATAATGTCAGAAAGATGTGTAACATTTTAAAGTCGGAATGAGGTTTCTGAGTGAAAGTATGAAGGAACAGTTAGCAGTTGAAGTCGCATGAAGATTTTTCAAGTCTGAAGAGTTTCTCCATTGACTTCCATGTTAAAAATGTGATGAATTATGGGATGTATCTCTGGAATTATGAAAGTTATGAATGAGAAAAGTAATAGCCATCGATTCCCGACCGAGCTGAACGTTTTGATGTTTGAACGGAGTTTCTGTGATGTGGAATGTGGGAGCAGAAGAGGCGCAAAATAACCCAACGGAATAATAAAGAATTTCGTGCGTCGAAGAACAGATAGTTGGAATGCTGTATCAGCATTCCCACTAAATAAGCGTTGCTTGGCAACCGGGTGTCGCGGCAAAGTATAGCGCAGCATTATGCATTTGTTTACATGAGGGGTCAAAATGTCCCCTTCAGGAGGATAAATCTCTTTCTCCACATTAAATGTTAGACATTAGAATTTACTGTTCTTGTCTGTCACATAAGTGGCGCAACTGATGCGATATTGCGGGGAAGGGGAAATTATTTTAACCGGAGAGATTTAGATTTGCCGGTCTTCAGCATATTTTACCGGACTATGACCGTTACCGGCTAACAGGAACTCTGAACACCAGGTATTTCAGACTGTCTGCAATCACATTAAACAAAACTGGAGCAAGTCTAAATAAAAGCACACATTTTCATTTAAGTAAAGGGGAACAAAATGCGTTGAATTACCTATCAGAGTAGTGACAGGTGCTTCTTCTCGTCTTTGCTTCGCGCAGAGTGACTCGTAGCAGTTACTTGCCGTTCGAAATCTTTTGCGATCCCACAATGCAGCGCGGTTCACGTAATTTGTTGTGTTATCACCTTTATATATACACTCTATGGTTATCACCTTATCACGGAGGATGGTCTGAATACAGTATTTTACTATGAAATAATACAATCATATAATCTGTAATAATTTATCCTGTACATTCACAGTAATTAACTGTGCCTGCATTGATTTAACTGTGAAATTCAAAATTACAGTATTATATTGTGAACATTACAGGTAAAGACTGTAAAGTGGTAAAACAATAATTTATTGTAAAATATTACAGCTAAATATTGTGAAATCATGGTAATATTTTACAGTGTATATACAATTTTGTATCCGGGCTATAGCTGCTGTTGTTAGAATTACAGTTAGGCTAAAACAAACACTGTATAATAGAACCACTGATTTTTAGATCGTCTAATGTAGCGAGCACCTTGGGCAACTAAATCATGCTCTATCTTGGTTTGCATGGTGCAGCTGTAATTCACCTTAAAGGTCCCATGACATGACCTTTTCTACTGATCATAATTCCATTGTTGAGGTCTACTAGAATAGATTAGAATAGAATTGTTCAATGTTCCAAAATCACATTGGTTTCTCATACAGCCTCTGTATAGTATGTGTATTCACTCTCTGTCCTAAATGGCTTGTTGGAGCTCCTGTGTCCACCACCGTTACAGCGGAACATCAGTCATTATGTGTTACAATGGCGTTAGCAACCAGAAAATGACACCAGTAATGACAAACAGATGAGAATGCTGCGTGAGGTCTGGGTGCCGTGTTGGCGGGACGTTGCGGGGCTCGCTGCTGTGGACAGTGTGAGCTGGATTACTGGGGTCGTTTCCTGGTTGCTGCGTGGGGTCTGCGAGACAGAGAGACACGCGAGACTCACCTGAACTCAGCCTGAGCACATACACACACTCGTAGCCTGGCTGTGAGTTTGTGTGTGTGCTCAGGCTGAGTTCAGGCTGAGTTTCACAGTGTCTCGCTGTCTCAGGCTGAGTTCAGGCTGAGAAATCCGCGGAGCTGCGGCTGAGAAAAGATAAGGCTGAGTGAGTGTGTGTGAGGAGCTCCACGCGGAGCCGTTACGTCACTACTTTTCTGTGTTAAGAGTTTTACTCGCTACAGGGTGTACTTTGAGGGTTTGTGACTTTGCAGACCGTTTACATGCAGAAAAAGCTACATAACACACAAGGGGACGGGTAATAACCAGAAAAGCATGACATGGGACCTTTAACTGTGATCTAAATTTGGATTCTAATTTTGAATAGCGATACCAGCCAACTTCCTTAAGTGTCTTTTAGTACAAGCAAATGCTGAATAACGCTGAGATAGCAATAGGCGCTTTCACACCGGAGTACTTTTCCCGTACTTTTCCAAGAAATAGTTCCGATAGTTCCTGGGATGTTGCGTTCAGACCAAAAATATGTTTTCTTTCACTTTGGGTTAAGTGCTTACAAGTAAATTGTAAGATGCTAATACACTGAACTACATGTAAGATGAACTTAGCTCATAGCACCACTGTGCCTCTGTGAGTCTGAATCTTAATAATTAATGGACATCTTCTTCATCATATCAGTTTTACTTAACTTTTTCCAAGTTGCTGCTATCTGCTCAGCAACTTAGCTGCTCATTGAACACATTTGGACAGTAGCTAATCTGGTACAAAGCATCTCTTCTCTGTCTATGTGATGTATGTATTTTGTACATGCTCCAAATCAAATAAATGTCATGAAACTAAATTACAATTTCATCTTTAGGAGGGAGATGTGATTGACATAATCGCCAAGCCCCCCATGGGAATATGGACAGGCATGCTGAATGGCAGAATCGGAAATTTCAAGTTCATTTATGTGGAAGTGCTAACAGAGGACAGTCCTGATGCATACAAGGAAACCCAAACCCACGAATTGAGACAGAACTCAACTGTCCAGGAAGTGTTAAAGTGCCTCAACATGGAGGTATTTGTCTTTTATCAACTTCCATTTAATAGGCAGATACTTCAGCTTCTGAGTGGTGTCTTCTCCTTTGCTTCCCCAGGTGTATTCCTCGTCTTTTCAGCAGCACGGTTACAAAACAGTGGATGACTTGTTGAGGTTGAGGGAGCATCACCTGACGGAGCTGAATGTGACGGATCCAGAGCTCAGGCATCGTCTGCTGGCTGCTGTCCGCTCCCTGCAGCAGCCATGCTGTGAGTAATGTGACACACAGAAAAGGTCATCCAAAAATGGTGTCATAACACACATTTTGTGACGTGATAATTCCAGAAAAATCTCACAGAGGTTTAAGATTCACAAAGTAAAAGGGACAGGTGACACTGCTCCTCGAGAGAACACTGGGAGTTATGCAGGCCACAGGTAAAGAGGTTAAAGATAACAGGATAACCCTAAAGAGTGTTACTGAGAATAGAGCAGGACACACAAGGATATTAGCTGCTGACAGATGAGCTGTTGAGCCTCAATGCAATGGAGTACTATAGTTGTGCAGGAATGAGTCCCAGACCTGGCAATGAGTTAGCATTTTAGCATTTCTGGGTTCCCTAATCAAGTCGATTGATTTTTGAGCATGTTTTTGGCTAGATCCATGTAGTAAGGTCTGTGGTTAACACAAGCTTACGAGATGTTCACATTTTCTTCTACCACGTGAAATATGTCAGTAAATACCCCACTAGTGAATTTCAAAGGCTTCTGCGTGTCTTAAAAAGATGGTCACTAACAAATGACTAGAAAGGAACATGACATTATGCCAAACATTAGCTACCTTTTAGACCAGAAGTCATGCGAACATGATATAGATCCTTTGGCATAATGTTTGCTATTTACTTCCAGCAATTGCATTTACTCTTTAACTATTATAAAAGTGGTAATTAGACAAAAGGTCTAAGTTTCATAAACATGTGTATGCCACAGACCTTGTTTTTTGCAATATTCCAAAATCCAATGCCAAATTCCATTGGTTTTTGTCAAGGTAGCCATTGCCATGCTAGCTTCCGGGTCAGACAAAAATATGTCAGCACAGCATCACTCTATAACTGCTCATCTATTAAACTATGGGACAGTTCATCCAACAAACCTGTCTTCTCTGCTTCACAGCTGATCATTTGGCGGATGAGTCCAATCATGAGGCTGGAACCTCCGGCGAGAACACGAAGGAAGATTTGAACAACTGCCCAAGAGATTCGGGCTGCCACATGCCCTCTGACAGCACCAACAACATCACCGAGGAGCCAGACCTGGAGTTTGTCTCTGACTCCGAGGACCCTCTACCAGCTGAGCAGACGGCTTCATAAAAATAATCTATAATGTCCCTGTTCTGTCTGTCTCACTTATAATGCTGCTTTTAAGATCACTTGAGAATAAAACACAGTTTTTTATTCACGCAATTGTGTCATTTCTCATTATGTAAAATAAATTGCCTAACCTTTACCACTGCTAATCCCAATAGAAATGTACATTTATATTTCATGTATTAGCCTGCTTAGCATACTGGGAGAATGCATGGAAACCAAAAGTTAGGGTATGAAGGTGTATGGAGCTCAGTTTTCTGACCTATTGTAGGAGAATGACATTGTAAGTATATTACAATATATGTAATTAAATAATCCTCCCATTTTTATAAATGTCACAAACCACATCACATTTTTTTAAGAAAAAAAGACAACTTTTATTGTACCGTCAACATGTCTGCCACTAAAGCTGTAGTTGTAACTTGAAATTTGTACCATTATTACTATTAAACCAAAACACGAAAAATATTCTACACTCTTCTACCAGTCCATTAATTCAACGAAAAGGCAGCCATGTGAAAGTTGTAATAGCTAATAGACTACACAGTAAACAATCATGGCATGACAGAGAAGAGGCAGAAGAAAAGATTAGAAAATGTTCCACAATATTCACATTCATATTTACATCAGTGTATAATACAGAGCACTACAGGGTCAAGTTCCTCAAATACAAAACAAAAGAGAGGAACATAATGTGGATCAATACAACATTACAGCCTTATGAGCTCAAATGTTACTTTTGAGAAGCTCATTCAAGCAAACAGACTGAATGTACTGTATGTCTGTATTACTTTCAATCAACACACCAATATTGGTTGGTACTGTTGTTGAATGAGTGGATGTCATGATTCTACATTACAATGTGACATGATGTTATTTCGAATGGTTAACCGCATCAGCAGGAACATTATTGGTCAGCTGACCACTCTTAACCGATGAACAGAATGTGTTCCCAGTAAAGCCTTTTTAAAACTTTTGTGCTCCCATTTATAACAAAAACAGCAAGAAACAAAAATTCTTACAGCAACTTCAAAGGAAAAAGGAGATTTCTTTTGAGAAATGTTGCAACAACTTGTCTGTATATTAAGGTAAAAATTCACAATCAAATTATATTCACACATATATTACACATAACTTGCACTCAAGTGTGTATACGTTAATTGTCCATATTTTAGAAACAATTTGATTTCCATGATGTGTTCTGGGGTTAGTTCACTGATATCAGTTCTGTAATCCAGGGCTGTAGCTGCAGTGTGGTTCAGTCCCCGAGGCCTCCATGAGAGTATATGGCATAACCGTTCTCAGGAAACAGAGAGATGTCCTCTGTGCTGCTCAGCCCGTTGTTGAGTTCTGAAAAAGATGAATGATGCCACTTTTACTTTAATAAAGACATTAAACGCAACACAACTGTTTTCTCTCCTGCACTGAATACGGAAATGTGGACCTTAATTACATTTATTATGTCAAAAGATTTCACATAACTGTATTAGGTTAGTTGAAAGCAATAATATTGAGTCAAACTTAATATTTCTTATTTAATCTTAATATTCTTGCTTTCAGCTAACTTAAAGGTCCCATGTCATGCTTCTCCGGTTATTACCCGTCCCCTTGTGTGTTATGAAGCTTTTTCTGCATGTAAATGGTCTGCAGAGTCACAAACCCTCAAAGTACACCCTGTAGGGAGTAAAACTCTAACACAGAAAAGACCTGTCTATGCTGCCCCAGAACGCCTCGTTGGAGATTTCTCATTTTCCATTGTTTTCTTCCTGGGTTCTGTGACGTGTGAACACCCAAATCAACAACAAATGACCGGATTGGTCCATTTGGCGGAGCACCTCACACACCAGGATCCCTTGGCTAACTAACAGGGAGTCCCATTGACTTGCATAGAGCTCCCTGAACGCTGGTAATAGACGAGTTGGGATGGCGGAGAAATGCTCTCCGCAGACCCATTCTCACAGCGTTATAAATCTTTTTCTTACTCAATATCAAGCCGCACTTATTGTTTTTACTTCGGCTGTGAGTGTTTGTGTGTGCTCAGGATGAGTTTCGCTTGTTCTCGCTGTATCACCGAACCGGAAACCTGTCCGCTCCTCGCAGCAGCTCGCAGCAGCTCGCAGCAGCGGCGAACAGCAGCGAGCCTCGCAACGTCCCGACCAATCAGAGCACACTGGGCTCACAGGGAGGGGGGGGCAGGAGCTCCAACAAGCCGTTTAGGACAGAGAGTGAATACACATACTATACAGAGATGCTGTATGAGAAACCAATGTGAGTTTGGAAAATTGCACAATATAAATCTATTCTAGTAGACCTCAACAATGGAATTATGATCAGTAGAAATGGCCATGACATGGGACCTTTAAAACAGTTATGTGAAATCTGTTGACATAATACATTTAATTAAAGTCCACATTTCCGTTTTTTCAGTGTGGCTTCAAACAGTGGAACAGGCTCCCCATGACATCAGGAGAGACTGCAAACCTGTTTCTATTGCACCTTGGTTTGGCTTATTAAAAGCTCTTGTTGTTGCAGGATACTTGCTGTTTGATTGCCCTTAGTGAAATGTAATGTTATGTTGAAACAGCTGTTCTCCAAAGTCCAAAGTTTATATGTGAAGAACATGTATCTCTGTCTGTTCTTTCCAAAGATGTATACAACTCTTAGTTTATTAAACATATACTTCTTTGTCACAAAAAATGATATTGACGCATCTTGATTTTTTTATAAACTTATTAAAGATCTTTTGGAAATATGATAATTTAGCTTTTGGGCATGGCCTTTTAATCAGAATCCAAATCAATAACTTTTAGAACTTTTAGAATAAAATAAAAGATTCATAAATAAAAAACGACTATATTAACGATTATACAAACATGACAAGTTTAAAGTGGACCTATCATGCTATATTTGAATAATATAGTGTAGGACCATACCTATATAAGGCATATTTATACTTTTTTTTTTTCAAAATACCAAACAGATCATGCATTTTAGCCATGCCTCATTTTGCTCAATTTGACATTTTTTAGATCTGTTTTAGCAAGGGCAGATTCTGTGAGCAACAGCACCATCTACTGGCCTGGCATATAGCGTCTCCGTGGCTGTCTCCTCCTGATTGGTGGAGTTGGCCCAATAGCCGTAGCGCTCACGTCCTGACGTCAGGACAGTGTTCAAATCTGGATCAGTTTTTATCAGATCCGTTGCAGCCCCTTTTTTAGAGATTTGGGTATGGAGGAAAATAGAGAGGGTTGTGTTTTCGGACACTTGGTGAGTTCCCTGGAACACCGGGGACACATATTCATTTATAAAAGACGTACAAAAGTGCATTTTGCATGATAGGTCCCCTTTAAGTAAGAATGTGCTGATAAAATAAAATAAGAAATCATAAGGAAAAAAAGGTAAATGTTGAATAAAAGATAAACTAAGTTAGAATAAAATGTAAATAATAATGTGAATATTGTACTAAAATAAATAACATCTATACTACAATGTATATAGTGATGTATAAGTATTAATGTATATTAATGCTGAATTGCAAGTCTAGTGACTCAGAGTGCCCGGTGATTCTCTGAGGACATTTAAAGCCTCATTCAATCACTCATCAGACTGTTTCAGGGTGTGAATGTAATCAAATCTGCACCTGAGAATATGAGCTTCTCCTTCATGACTTTGAGGTCCCGATCAGTCCGATTGGCCACAGCGCTGAGCACGATCTGTTCCGGGTTATAGTGCTGCATCCCGCTCATCTTCCACCTGGCACAACACACACCACACACACACACACACACACACACACACACACACACCACACACACACACACACACACATCACACACACACACACACACACACACACACACACACACACACACCACCCACACACACACACACACACACACACACACACACACACACACACACACACACACACACACACACACACACACACACACACACAACACACACACACACACACACACACACACACACACCCCCACACACCACACACACACACAACACACACACACACACACCACACACACACACACACACACACACACCCACACACACACACACCACACACACACACACACACCACACACACACACAACGAGTGTGCCATTAAAACTATAACATGTATTACTTCTGGGATACATATAACATTATCTAAAAAATAAATTGAATGTCCTTTGATAAACAAGAGGTAGACAAGTAGAGAGACAGAAAGGAACAAGTCTGCCTTGAGGTGTCTGGCAGGAAACACACAGAGGGACCGAGGAGGCAGAGAGAAAGGCAGAGGGTACCTGATCATATGATAGCTGACAGACGCCGGGGGGCAGGAGCAAGGTTGCATGCAGATCAGGCAGAGCACAGGACAAATGTTAAAGGACAAGAGAAAGAGAGGACAAAGAGAGGTTATAGCATGGAGGACACATATGGACACATATGGAAACATTGAGACTAGGAAAAAAAGGGGAAATCAAATGAAGAGTCAGTGTAGAGGCTGAGCTCAGGTCCAATCAGATCAGAGGATGGTGTTCACACAGTACAGTCCCTCTTCATGTATCTGTGCTGCTCCTGATAACATGTGTGTGTGTGTTGTCAGTGTACATCTGTTACACTCAACATGATCACAGAACAACTACTTACTTCTGAAAACAGAAAATCCCTATGACTAAGGCGATGGACACCAGATCTGACGTGAGCCAGATGAAGCGGTAAGCGCTCCGACTCTGCAAGAGAAGAAAAAAGAAGAGCAGTTTTCAGTCAGCGCCACTGGAGGTCAGCATCATCATGCATTTCTCCTGAAGCTTACACAACACAAAGTATATTCAGCACAGAGCGACTGTGCAGCTGTACTCTGTCTCTGATTGTCTCAGACTCTTTCCCAGGGTCCTGTTGTTCTCCAACGCCACGCTGAGCCCTCATATCTCTGCGTCCTCGCCTCGGGTCGTGGGGTGTGTGTGTGTGTGTGTGTGTGTGTGTGTGTGTGTGTGTGTGTGTGTGTGTGTGTGTGTGTGTGTGTGTGTGTGTGTGTGTGTGTGTGTGTGTGTGTGTGTGTGTGTGTGTGTGTGTGTGTGTGTGTGTGTGTGTGTGTGTGTGTGTGTGTGTGTGTGTGTGTGTGTGTGTGTGTGTGTGTGTGTGTGTGTGTGTGTGTGTGTGTGTGTGTGTGTGTGTGTGTGTGTGTGTGTGTGTGTGTGTGTGTGTGTGTGTGTGTGTGTGTGTGGTGTCAGATGAGAGACAGAGAGCAGAGCTGTTTACCATGAGCCAGATGGGGTAAGGCACCTTTCGGAGGACTTGTGGGGCATCAGAGGACACAGAAGACACCCCGCTGCACCACAGGACGGAGTAGAGCCAGGGCGCGTTGACTGCGGACATAGTCACACTCACATTGTGGGCCAGATACTCCCTGCGGAAAGGAAAATAAATGTTAAAAATGAGGAAAAGAATCCTCTCGTTTTCACTCTCGTTTAACTTCAGGCTAAAGAATATTGTCACTTTAGATGTTGTCACTCAACAATGGCCCATTGACAGATTCTTATATCCTCCAACAGACACCATGTGAGCCCTTCCTCTTTCAAATCACTGTGAACCCTAAACTCCTCTGCATATGTTGTACAATGCTATGAATTAAAAAATGTACCCCTTTAAACTTAGATATACTACTTATATTTAAATTTTCAGAGTAACTACTATTATTGTTGTACTTACTTTTTATTATATTTGTTGTATATTTATATTTCTTGTAAACATTTATTTTTGTAATTTTATAATTTGCTAAATGACCTGTAATAGTTTCATATTTGCTTCTCTTTCACACATTTTGTTTTTCACAAATGATTTGACATGTGTAAATGTACTTGAACCTGATTCTGCTTTGGTTTATCAGACATCTATGTGACACTGTGACACATACAGTACAACCTACAGTATTTCACCTAAATATGCTATAATGTTTTTTGTTCCTGAAATCATGAAAGTGGATTACACTGTTGACATTTAGTATGATATATATATATATATATATATATATATATAAAAGGCACTAAAAAAGTTAATGGTGTTCAATAAACTTAGATGATGTTGCATATTTCCATACAACAATCACCAACATCATATAAATGAAAATCTGGTGATAAGTTGTGGGGTTGTTTTCTGCATCAGAAACAACCCCAGAGTCTTGTTTAAGTGGGAAGTTACAAACATTTAATGCTGACTCAAGTGAATCACTTGAGGACATTTATCACGTTCCTCTGGAGACACTAAAGGCTTCACTTCTGCAGTACTCTTCAACACGAGAAAACAGATTCATGTCTAAAAGCATTCTCTTTAATATTACATTTCCAATGCTTAGTGGGAGACTTCTCTTTAGTTCCCATTTTTAGTATGCAGTTGCAAGGGAACATGGAAGACAAAAATAAAATATAATCGATACAATGGTTGTCTCTAGCAGTGGATGCTCACTGTATGTCTGTGTGGCTGGCCTTGCTGTAGTGCAGGGTGAGGCTTGTTATCCCCCTCTGCCGTATCTCTTCCAGTGACAGCTTCTCATTGGCGCTCTGCGGCAGCCCTCGCACCCTCCCCCTGTCCGTGTCGGGGGTCCACGTCACCTGGCACACACACATATGACATGGACAGACCCTGGTCAGGAAGATTGCCCTGCTACATATCTAGAAATGTTACACTTTTATAGAAAAAGGCGCTGCTTGTATATAATTTGATATACAGGAATAACTTTATTACATCTTACCACCCATTTCTTTTTGATGGTCACTAAGTTGGAAAATATATTTATTTTGGGTATCCAACCTAACCCTAGCCCTAACCCCACTTCATTGGAAAATATATGTATTTCTTTCAGTCCTGAAAGGACTCTGCATTTCAACTGATTTCAACTAAAGGAAGAGTAAATATGATTTGCTTTGTGGAAAAAAGCAATCCTTTATATGTCCCACAGTATTCTGACAATTACCAAACTACATGGACAATACCAGCAGCCAATCTCAGTGCACTGAAAAAACTGAAACGTTGACCTTAATTAGTTGAAAGCAATAATATTAAGTTTAAATAAAACATTTAGGTTCAACTTAATATTATTGCTTTCAACTAGCCTAATACAGTAATGTGAAATCTGTTGACATGAAACATTTAATTAAAGTCAACATTTCAGTTTTTCAGTGTGACAGCTGTTTACTTCAGCATGGTTTACTGGGGTTCCGACAAGCAGCACATTTTAGTAATGAAAGGATATTATGGAGGGACCTACAGTCCTCACCCTCTTGGGGGAAATCCCAGCTTTCTGCACGGCCCACAGCGTGTCCATGAACCAGCTGCGGTGGCGCGGATGCTCCGGTGGAGGCCGGCGGATGTCGAGCAGAGCGGAGCCGTTGGCCCTGGCTGCCAGACGCAGCATGTCCACCAGACTGCAGACCGTCTGGTTGCCTATCCTGAGGCGGTCCCTGGCAGTCAGGGTCTCTACGGTCCAGTAGGGGTCGCTCTGGGAGCAGAGGTCAGAAGAGAGTCAGACACAGAGATAGAACGTACACTATTTTCTTCGGTAGACAATTAGCATATACAATATTTGAAACATGCTTGGTTTATTTTAAGATTTTAGACTAGATTTAGACTTGTTGTCTTTGTATCTTCCTGTCTGTCTTCTAAACCAGAAAGTTCTAATGCCATTTGTTGGATAACCTCAAATCAAAGAAAGTGACAAAAAAGTATTTATTTATATAACACCTCAAACATGTTGTAAGTTTTACTACATGGTCAATTCCTTTGACCACCAACTATAATTTCACAATACAAAAAGGGAGTTATTTGTAGCAACAGAATATGGGAGTAATGTTGGGTCATTGATGGGAATTTGCCCAAACAAATCAAACAAAATAATATGAGTTGAGGCGAAGTGGATTCCAGTACCTTCAGAAACCACTGGCCTGCGTTTAGAGAGTGAATCTCTGTCCAGTTGAAGAGAGAAGCATCCTCAAACTGCCGGGCTGGGAAGACCTTCCCAACGTCTGTGGTTCGTCTCAACGTGCGGTCCCGCATCAGGAAAGGAACACCGTCTACACTGGAATGGACAAAATGGTCAGAAATGATGTATTTTAGAAAACAAATGATGTTTAAGTATTTATCTTAGTAAAATGAAACCTTTTCCTAACAATAAAAACAGCAGCTCATTGAAACATTCAAGACGAAAGGCAAAATGTGACTATATATAGCATCTCTCTCATTAAATCTAAATGCTTCTATTTCTCAACTGTGGAACTTCAGAGCACTCTAAATTCATGAAATTAAATAATCCATGATTAAAATGTTAAAGTGTGATTAATAACCTGATAGTGACGTCTGCCTCCAGGGAGCTGGCTCCATTCTGCAGAGCTCGGTTAAAGGACACGATGGTGTTTTCTGGGGCCAGCTAGAGCAAAGGGGGGGGACTATTGTTAGTCACTGGGGGTTGAAAACACATCAAGAGGACGGGATATAAAGGCACATTTAAAAACCCAAGCATGATTTTTTTAAGAAACAAAACTTTGCGGCATATCATTAAAGTAAAGCCTAAAAGGTACAGTAACTAGTTGCATCATGCATATTTACACACCACAAATCAAGTACTATATGTTGATTGAAATTCTCTATAAACATCAAGAAGAGAATACAGAGAGAGAAACAGCCAAGAAGCCAACTAGAGTAATGAAAGCTAGCTGGTAAGATGGCCATGGCTAGCCTTGCTAAAACTAAAACTATATTTACCGGTACTTCCCTATTGTTTTTTTGACGAGCCAACATTTTTGTTAGTTTGTTCCTTATTTAACTTGACTAATCCTATGATAATGAAAAAATAACTAATATGTTGCCTTTGCAGAGTAACAGTGACTGATCAAAGTATCCAACAGAATGGTGCATTGATGATGTATTTTTGTAGGCCAACCCAGAAATGAGCATTGCAAGGGCCACAAGATCCGTGACAAACACATGTTTATGGTAATTGCACATTCTCAAAATATAAACCCCACTTTTAGAATTGTTGAAGTGTAGCCCAAATGCAATGAGCAGAAGTGAAAGTTAACGTAATGCTTTAAACCAACTACATGGCGGGCGCATGACTTCACGCTACCACCGCTAAGCTAAAAGTGGCTAATTTTCTGCTTGATGGTGTTTACCTGTCTAACATAGACGTGTAAAATCTTCAAACATTCACAAGCGGGGCGTTTAGTTTAAATGTTATGTCGTAAAACAGAATGTATTAATCTTGTAAGCTTGTGTTCAACACATACCTTATTTTGGAAATCTAACCAAAAACACACTTTCCAAAAACCAGTGACTTTGAGGCGAGGCAGCCTAAAAGTGCCAAAATACTAACTCCTTTTCCAGGTTTAGGACTCATTCTTGCAAGACTCTATGGAAATTACCAAATGATATTGTTTCAAAATGAAAGAAAATAGAACAATATTCAGTAGAATACATATAAAGCAACTGATCCATCAGAAGATCAAGTAAACAACATCTGACGGTGACACGTTCACACAGAACAATGAACTCACCATAGGAGCTCCCCGTCGACCAATGATGTCTGGCCGGGGTCGGAGTGTGTGCCGGTCCATAATGCAGGGGCAGCTGAATGTGAGTGGTGCCAAATAGACAGCCAGAAGGATGATGAAGTAGATCACCAACACCGTCACCTGGAAATCTAGGAGAGAGGTGTAAGAGACTTTTAGGTTCACTTCCTTTATCTTCTGCATGTCTCATCTACTCATTATGTTAAGAAATGTTTTTGTTGAAAGGATTTAAGTGCGGGAGCGGCCTGCTAAAAGCATGCCACCGCAGCCTATCGCATTGCTTGGCTGTCTTATCACCGGACCGTCTTCCTTAACAGTACGCACGTGAGCAGATGCCTAAAAGTCTTCCTGTTCGCCAGCACTGCTAACAAAAGCAAGCATTTATTGATGTATTGTCTCTCAACAGTCGACTTAAAGGTCACCTATCATGCAAATTGCACTTTTTGATGTATTTTATACATAAATATGTGTCCCCCGTGTGTAAGGAGACTCACAAAGTGTCAGAAAATACAACCCTCTCTCTTTTCCTCCTTACCCACATCTCTAAAACCGGGGTTACAACGGTCATTACTGAAATGTGGGATGGCTTTACATTGAACTCATGGCAACGTCCAGGAGTTCAATGTTCAATGTAGGGACGATAGGTTGGGCCGTGGCAGTCTGCTAGCTGAATCCCCTCCCGCAGCTTTGTGTCTGTGTATTCAACAGGATGTCTACGAGAGATTTGATCACGTTTAGCTGAGTTTCTGCTGGTAGACAGCGTTCTCTTCACAGAGCTCACCGCTTGCATAGGTGATCTTTAACTTCACAATTGCAGCAACAAGTTAGATCAGAACCAGTGGCATACTGCAAGGTAAAAAACAAAGTGACAACTATCCTCAGCCTAGCCACAGCTTACTGACCTGTAACAACTACAATTTGACGGGCAGCAACCCCATTAACACAGACAGCTAAGAAGCTATCAGCTAAGTAGCATTTGCATTCACGGATTGAACATCTCCTGGGCATAGCACATTTTTAAGTACATTATCTTTTCACAGCTAAGTAAGCATAGCACCGCCTATCTTATGTTATGTTTCTAATGTTTGTACATGTGTTGTTTGTTTTTATTCACTGAGCTTTAATGTATGATCTGTGTGTTGAGCTAATGGTTAACATGGTTGGTTATCCAGTTGATTTTACTATTGTATTCACAGACAATACTGCATGCAAACTAACAATCATCTTAACCCGGCGCCATTATAATACCTATAGAACATTAATAATCATAACATTAAAGAATAAATAATTACCTTTGATAATTTGTTATTATTCTGATAGGCAAGTATTTGTGAGCTAATGCAACTACCTGGCAACTAAACAAAATCATGATTTCATTATTAAAAAGAGCTTCTTCAGTCCTGATTACCATTTATATTCCAAAGAACTCTGAATCTGTAATGTGCCTAAAGACAGGGAGTGAACACTTACTGGATCTGTCTCTGCGGACCACATATCCAGCCACCAACCAGCTGATAGCTGTGACTGTTGCAAGAGCTCCAATGTGCAGGAAAGGTGCTGTTGACTGGGAGGAACACAAATATAGAACACTGGTGTTAATTGGTGGGAACTTATTATTAGAGAGAACAACAGAGTAGAAGATCTCATATGTTCACCTGAACCCTAGGACCCAAGACCCAACCAGGGAACTCAATACGTTTGAGTCAATGGTTTATAAAGTCGGTGGGCCAGTCTCTGTTTTGCATTCAATGTTGTACCCTAAAGGATCTGAGCAGACCCAGGCGTCGGCGGAGCTGATCATGATGGGTGAGCTGTGTGGGTCAGAGGTCAGACTCACAGATGATAACAAATTACCAATGGTAAAGATAGAAGTCATCTACATGCTAGATACCAAAAACAGCAAAGACTTTTCTTCACAGGTGTCCTTTGTCATCCGTTATTGTGACAATTATTGTGACATTTTAGCTGAAATAAAAAGTTAAATAGCAGGGCTGTTTCAGGTTCTTGTCAAGGCTAGATTAAATGCATCATGCCCAAGAAGAAAATTAGAGGACGTTACATTAAGAAAGACTCAAATTCATGTTTTGACAACTATACTCTAACTGTGAAAGCTGTTAAAACTGTGCCGACTGGGTCTGCCTCTACTTGGGAAGTTTGTCGGTCTTCATGGATAACAGCTTTCAAATAATAAGACAGGTTCGGTTTGGGTCTGGAAACTCATTTTTGGACCCGTGACTTTTACAACAGAATAGAACTTTGAGGACATGTAGATAATGAATACATGTGCCGAATATAAGTACAACTTTGATAATGAGACAGGATCATTAGAGTAATAAAGATGTTGTCTGTTTCTTCAAACAAAGAAATAGAGACCATCTTGCGATGGCATCACACACAGCAATGTCAAATTAAGCTCTTGGCTTCTTGATTCCTCAATGCTATTAAACCTCTTTTTCACTATTATATACTCAATGTAGTTCTAGTCAAAAAGTGAAGAATAAAACACGTAAAATACATCGGCAAAAGAAAATCTGAAGGATTATTATTAGTGTTCTAGACCAACCTGCAGTGATACAAGCAGGATGTCCCACTCATCTCCCCATATGTCATCAACAGAGACAACACCAGAAATAGTGGTGAACAACGTCGCCAACACTCCAATCTGTGGAGAAAGACATTATTATAATAGTGTGATTGGAGCCAATCAAGAGCAAAAATGTGCGATGTAAATCACAGCACCTTGTGAACCCAGTAGAGGTTGAGCTGCTGGCCCAAGGATATATGGAAAAGTGCTAAGATCTGAAAAAAATTGACATATTTAGTCAGTTATGTTGTAACCTTGCAATTAGCATGTTTGCTAACATCTAGGGCAGGGGTCTGCAACCTGCGGTTCCGGAGCCGCATGCGGCTCTAAAAGCCCTCTGCTCTGGCTCCCTTGAGCTTAGACAAAAATAAGAAGGAAATAAAATACAAATATTTGTAGGACTATTTATATTTTGTTGCACGGTTGAAAATGTTTCGTATCTTGTATTTTGAGGTGATACTGTGACACATCAAAAAACGGTTTTAATTAGGTCAACTAAAACATGCGTCACATCCTGCTACGGTCCCGCGCCAGCGCCTTTTTCTAACCTGACCCCCGGCTCGATGAGCAAACTATGGATAAATCAAAGAAAAGAAAAGTATGGGAGGAACACAGAGGGTTTCATTCTGCGTGGACAGAGTTATCTGCTTTCACAGCAAACGATGCTGGCTTACCAATATGTTTGATATGTTGAGAGAAGTTGTTAAAGCTGCTGCAGCTTTACGTATCGAGGAAAAACACACAAGAGGAAGACAGCTGACGATCTTCACTCATAATTCAATCACCTAACTATTTTTAGGGTGCAGCTATAGGTTTTATTTATTTCAAAGTGGGCCCATTTTAATTACATTTATTTTCTTCAAATGTGCAGAGGACTCCCCAAGTGCTGTGTTTAATGTATTTTAAAGTTCTTTGTTTATTATTGGAGGTAAACAGTTTTCTTTAATGTAATAAATAATGTATGCAAAAAAAACTGTAGTTTTTGTCTATGATATAACAATATATACAACGTTATAGGCTATCAAGCTATCAAATATGTTTTGCGGCTCCAGACAAAAGAAATTGGTGGAAAAGGGGGCAAAATGGCTCTTTTGGTCAAAAAGGTTGCAGACCCCTGATCTAGGGGGTTAAACAAGAGTGTTACCATTAAGAATGTGATGTAGCTGAATCCCACAGTGGTGGGTGCGAGGATGGGGATGGTCTCGTCGCTCCATGCTCCAGAGCGGTTGTATACTGACCTGCCGTGTGAACAGGGAAGGTCAGTCTGGTTGATGCTGATGGTTAAACTAAAAGGAGAACTTGGACCAGATGCAGCCATCAAATATTCTTATCACATAGGGAAGACTGACTCACCAGTTGAACTCGTTGAAATCATTTTGAGCCACCAACCAGAAGTACGCCCAGAAGAGAACCAGTAGGAAAGAACTGCACAAGATGATGAACCATGTACACTCCCACTGTAAAGCAAAGCACAAGCAACAGATGACCTTTTCCAGTTCCATACTGACACTGTTTCACACATACTCTATACGTAGGAATATGAAGAGTGTGTTTAAGGCTACTCGCCCAGCAACAAACAGCCAACAGAGAAAGTTAGCTGGTGTACATAATAGAGCATTTGGCTGATTAAGAGGCAGATATGTTCTCTTGGTGGAGAGTATAATCTGAGCTCAAGGGGGCAGCAGATTGGATTGACATTCCAAATGAATGCTAAAGATGCTTATAAGTACTGCGGACTGTGCCAACAAGCCGAAGCACTGTGGAAACTCTACCTAACAAAAGAAAAAGAGCTCTGTAGATAGAATGATAACAACTAGGGAAAACAAGAGTAAACCTTGGACAGATATTCCCTTGATAAAAAAGCGCCAAACCATCATTGAGCGGGCATACTTTCTACAACATCAGTTAGACATAATCATAAAGAAGGAAAACACAGAAAGACATCTGGCTGACATTGTGACAGCAACACTAAGAATAATGTGTGTGAGAGAAACTCCCTCTGGAAGGAACACAAGGATTTTAGCCTTTGCAGACCATTTACATGTACAAAAACCTATAGAACACACTAGAGGAGAGGGAAAGCCCTAAATGCATAATAGGGCGTCTTGAATATTATCCTGTTACGCACCATCCGCCCGGTACCGGGCAGATAAACGCGTCATTTGCAGGAAACAACGTCTAAGGAATCTTAATATTTAATAAACTATGAATGTTTTCAGTGGCGTTTTTATATGTACAAAAGTGGTGGGGCACAAAAAACTTAGATGTCTATATATAAGCTTCTGCAGTGACGTGCAGTGAGGTTCATGGCTGCTGAGGCACTGGCACTGACTCTTCAGGTTTACAAATATTATATTTTGACCTAAACCAAAATATAATATTATTTTCAAAAGCTTTTTTTGTCTGATGCTTCGATTAATTTTAAACAGACAGTTCAACAAAAGGATACCCAAAAAATGTAATTTGATCATTTAAATATTGAATTGTTCTCTCTAAGTAAGATCCCATTTTCAAAAAATTGCGGTCTTACCTTGACTTGAAGATGAAGTCCATTTGCCTATCCTTCTGGACAAAAAATTCTATAACTTTTTTGTAAAAGTCCTCCTTATCATCTTGTAGTTTCAAAAGTCTATCATAAATCTAATCGATAGATTTATGATTCGAAAATGATAAAAGTAGGGTAGACATGTGGATATTATCCGGCTGAACAAAACGTGCATTTATCTAACAGGTACGTTTCCCACAGATCTTATTTCAAGCTATTTTCTAAAATCCTATAGAGAAACCTCATTGCTTTTTTGCAGCTTACTTCCTGGTTTTAGGACGCGTCACTGCAGCTCTCGTCTCCTCTTATTATACATCCATGCTCTTCACACACCACACTTTTCGCGGCACACGTACTTACAGCCAATCAGCTCTGAATGATGTGAGATGACGTATGGTGGGGATGGCAGCTCTGTGCCCCTATGGTGTTTTTTTTTTTGCCACACACATTACATTGAAAAATACTCTGAGCATGCGCAGTGTAGTTTTTACAGTCACCGTTCACTTTGACAGTGAAAGGGTGGGGCATGATCAGGTTTTGTCCCACATGGCTCAAAACGGCACTGTAGACACTAATTAGAAGAACACAGACTAAAACAGCAATGCACAGACGAATCAGATGATTAAACATGACCTTAAAATATATTTTATATATTTTTTTTATTTCTTTTTTTGCATCTCTTTCCATTTTTTGTAATCATTATGTGTAATACTTTCTGCTGACACTAGGTGGGGCTGTGCCCTGCCCCTAATGACCAGTCGCCACTGAATGTTTTATATCCATGTAACGGGAAGAAACTCAGCTAACTGATCTTTTTAATTTTTTTTTAAAAAAAAAAAAAACACAATGCTAACACTCAGCCTCTGAATTAGCCACGAGCGAAAAAATGTAACCTAAAACGGCACTTAAACTCACAATAACTCCCTTATTACTTATCCTAGATGCACAGCCAACGACTCGTTTTTGTTCTCCTGGAGACACTGAATCTAGGGGTGCCCACCTCAACACTCAGTGATAAACATTTGCGACGCTATAAACGAAAGCGTACATCATAACATGTGGAGCTAGGTAGCTAGAAACGCTAACATGGCTTACCTTGGTCAAAACTGGTCTTCAATGGCATTAAAACGATAAAAAAACGATGCTGCAGTTAATCCATAGGTTCATCCAATGTATCTGTGCCCTCTTTGAAATTATTTCTGATAATCCATAAGCAATAAAACTGCTTTTTCGTTTCCAAATGCCAGAGCTAGAGATCGCTTCACTCTGCTGCACATTTACATGCGCGCAGCCCCCACCTTTTCTCTTCACAACGTGTGTGTTTGGGGGCCTCCCCCTTCGATTCTATTGGCTCTAACGGTCAGAAAGAGGTGTCAACCATCAAAATCGACCAAGGGGGTCCAGAGATATGGAAAAAAAAACATTTTCACCCAAATCACCTCAGAGGTGGGGTGGTTTTGGCTAAACCTCTCTAAAAAGGTCAAATGTCACTTGTTTTGCATCAATATTGATACAGGGTACTTATTATATGTTGTACTTTGGATTCCTAAAGCTTTTAGTCTACTAACCCATCATCCAAGGGTAGTTTTCACTATCTGTAAAAAAGAATTTTTGGATGGACACTATAATTTACAGTTTTTTACTATGTAAAATCTGAATTTTCTTTAAAATAAAAAACATTTATATTGATTCTGACACTTCTACATCCAACTCACAGATGTAACCTTGCTTTGATAAAATAAATTATTCATATAACCCTTTCAGAAGTTAAGTTGTAGTCATTTGTTTTGGGCATGTCCTTTTCGAGCCTGAAACATGAAAAACAGGCTTGGTGCTTAACAGGTTAAGTTGGTTGAGCCATCTGTTCATAAATGACTGCAGTTATCCCTGAAGTTAACATACCCACATCTACTATTTTCTCAAAGCGATCAGCTCATGATAAATTCCTGTTTCCAAAAAATTGCCATAATCACATTTCTATAATTACTCATGTACAAAAATGACATATACATGTTTTCTCCTTTCCAGGTTTCTCCCCCTCAGTCCTCTGGCGTGGCCTGTGTGACAAAGGTACAGAGGAGAGCCCGTGCTGCACTCAAGGACTTTTCCCTCCAGTAACTAACATGCTTAGGAGCTAAAACGATAGTTACGTATGTAACTACGGTTCTATGAATACTGGATGACCGCCAGAGGCAGTGCTTTAGCACTGGATATCTTCTGTCTCGCGCATGCGTAGGTCGAATATTTATATCAACAAAGTCACGTGTGACCTCGTATGACCCCGGAAGGTATAAGTTCCGGTGTTGTCAACGAGTTCAGTTCTATGGAATCTTCTCGCGGAAACACGAGATTCCGAGTGACCAAGAACTCTGGCGGTCATCCAGTATTCATAGAACTGTAGTTACATACGTAACTATCGTTCTATTTCATACTTACTGACCGCCAGAGGCGGTGCTTTAGCACTGGATGACCTATACCAACAGAGTCACGAGGAAGTCTGAATACTTCCCCTATAGGGATGGCCTAGGCGGACTCTGCAGGAGGACCACACCCAGCGGGTGAGGGGCGGCAACATTCACCCTGTAGTATCTGGCGAATGTGCTCAGAGATGCCCATGTGGCCGCAGCCCATATGTCCTCCAGGGGCACACCTCTCAAGGTCGCCCATGACGTGGAGACACTCCTGGTAGAGTGGCACTTTACTCTGGGTGGCAAGGGACGGTCATTCGCCTTGTATGCCTGGGCAATGACGTCCATGATCCAGTGGGACAAGCGCTGTTCTGAGAGCGCACAGCCCCTTCTAGGACCACCGTAACACAGAAAGAGCTGTTCAGACTGACGCATGCCTGAAACACGAGATTCCGAGTGACCAAGAACTCTGGCGGTCATCCAGTATTCATAGAACTGTAGTTACATACGTAACTATCGTTCTATTTCATACTTACTGACCGCCAGAGGCGGTGCTTTAGCACTGGATGACCTATACCAACAGAGTCACGAGGAAGTCTGAATACTTCCCCTATAGGGATGGCCTAGGCGGACTCTGCAGGAGGACCACACCCAGCGGGTGAGGGGCGGCAACATTCACCCTGTAGTATCTGGCGAATGTGCTCAGAGATGCCCATGTGGCCGCAGCCCATATGTCCTCCAGGGGCACACCTCTCAAGGTCGCCCATGACGTGGAGACACTCCTGGTAGAGTGGCACTTTACTCTGGGTGGCAAGGGACGGTCATTCGCCTTGTATGCCTGGGCAATGACGTCCATGATCCAGTGGGACAAGCGCTGTTCTGAGAGCGCACAGCCCCTTCTAGGACCACCGTAACACAGAAAGAGCTGTTCAGACTGACGCATGCCTGCGGTATTCTGGACATAAGCTCTAAGGGCCCGCACCGGGCATAGGAGTCTTGACCTTTCTTCCCCCTCTCCTGATGGGGGGTCAAACCGTGCCAGCTGGATAGGCCGATTAAAATGAGAGCGTGCCAGCACCTTAGGGAGGAACGCTGTGTTCGGCCAAAGGTGACACCTGAGCCATCTGAGTTCCACCTCAGACACGAGCTGTTCACGGACAAGGCCTGAAGCTCACTTACACGCTTTGCTGAGGTGATGGCAAGAGGGAAAGCAGTCTTAGCTGAGAGCCACTTCAGTTCTGCCTGTAACAAAGGTTCAACAGGAGGCAAGCATAGGGCATCCAGCACCAAGGGCAGGTCCCATGTAGGGGCCCTTGGGATATTCGGGGGGCGAAGCCTCAGAGCTCCCCTTTAAAAAGAGGGATACCAGCCTATGGCTCCCCACTGTGCTGTTGTCAGCCCTTGCGTGTTGAGCTGATATAGCAGCCACATACACCCTGACGGTAGCGGGACACCGGCCGTCGTCCAGGAGGGACTGAAGGAACTCAAGGGTCGTAGGTACCGA